AAAAGTTTACATAACAGCTGGATAAAAATGGGAAAACTGGGGCTCCGTACTTAGAGTTTTTCAAAAGGCGCCGCATTATCAACAGTTACATATTGTACTGCAACTATTAATAAGTCATTGTGCTGTAGTCTACAATATGTGCCCGTGCCACCATTTCCTGATGATGAATGATAATTTAAGATTAATACTACAAGATATTCCACAGGAGACGAGCATGTATAGTTCGTCGCCCATCTGGGCCACAAGTCGAGATTCTATCAAGTTTTCCCGTCAGCGTGCAGTTTCTAATCTTCTGAACTATTGTGCCGTCAATATCCCCTGACCCCCAAAGCAATGGTCAAGGTCTTATTGCTTTGAGATAAGCACTGTAAGTACTATAATCTCTCGGGTCTTTCATAGCCACCATTATAGACAAGAATCGAAATTACTTTCTATACGATTGAAGGAGCATATCCCAAAGCAAATATGATGCAGATAACTGGTATCCACATGATTTATCATACATTCCCGCGAGAAAGGCGAAGTAAGTGTAACTATTAACCTTTTCAGCAAGTCTTCCAACCGTAATATGCAAAAATAGATCTTTCAAGATAAAGGGGAAATTGTCATTCTGAAAATGTAGTGCAGGGTCTTACACTTTGGTAAATGATAATAACTTGCAATAAAAGTCAGGGAAAGTGGCTAAATCTATCTGCAATGATCGGTGGGTAGGCCTAGAGGTTGAACTGTAGACTTTGTCATAATCCAATTCAAATTCTAATGGACATCCTACAATTGACTGATGACTTCACCCAACATTATAACACTCCATCATGACTGTAATGGCCGCGCCAGTAGCCTTCAAGTAGGAAATCTGCAGTAGACAGACCAGTATCAGTCGGCTGTAATAGAGGTCTTCACCTCCATTTAAAAGGGCACCTATTCTGTTTTCCTTCTTTTTATTTCAATCCCTCCTTTTACGTATTGCGTTAAAAAGCAGTACGCTGTACTGGATCGTATTTCAGATTCCACGAAACGTCCACATCAAATGAAAATTGAAACCCACAAGGCGGCCAAACAGGATTCTCCCGGACCAGATGTCTCACTCGTAGCCCTTCCTGATGGGCAGACAGTACTATTAGATTTGTCCATATCAACACATGCTTAAATACACTATTAGAAGTCCTCATGAAAGTACTTGCCCATACTTCAATCTCAAAATTTTTTCTGCACCAGGTAGCAACAAGGGTCTGATTCCCAAAAATAGAAATGAAACAGGGGGTCGACCACCTCAAATTCCCGCCACAGCTGATGATAGTAACAAACCTTTGACCTACATTTTCCATGGTATCCATCCGTCTGGCCAGACAAGACTAACCACTCACATCTCTCACTACGCTCACTAAACTGGTGAAAAAAAAACTTGAACAATGTAGGAAAGTTTAGACCCTACCTGTGCCTTCCAGCCAAAAAATCTACAAAATGGACCAAAACTTTCAAGAGAAAAAATGAGTTTCAAAGGTATTAACTAGGCACTACAATCGTGTTCCCATTTTTTGGATACTACTGCGCAACGCAAATGTGGTGTCTGCCCTGATCCTGCCCCCACTCGTAGCCCTCCCTGATCCTGCCCCCACTCGTAGCCCTCCCTGATCCTGCCCCCACTCGAGGCCCTCCCTGATCCTGCCCCCACTCGTAGCCCTCCCTGATCCTGCCCCCACTCGTAGCCCTCCCTGATCCTGCCCCCACTCGTAGCCCTCCCTGATCCTGCCCCCACTGATCACACACCCCATAAGTACAGTATCAAATTGGCCAGGCATTATCCATTAGCGAGAGAAGGTCCGCGGCCACCGTCGGTGGCGAGCTAAACTATGGCTAATGGATACTGTCTTTTGCCACCGATAGGGATCTGCTTGGAGACTATTGAACAGCGCATAGAGCAAAGGTTAATGCCCTCTCAAACATTGACCTCTCGACGTTTCTGTCGATTAAAGGTCAATTACAGACATTGTGGAGGTAAGTAGTACGTCGCCATTGGCTTCAAATTGTACGACTTCGATTCTCACAAACACATGGAGTTTAGGTGAGTAATTTCACCTGACATTTCTGCATTTCTGTCACTACTTTAGTTAGTGACACGATTAGCCCACGATTTGCAAAGTGCTCAGAATTCAAGTGTGACATTGAATGTTCGTCACCATTTAGGTCTAGCTGCAAGAAATTCAGTGTCTACCCACGGAAAAGATGTACCGACTACTCCCTAATGTGGCTTTGTTTCTGATTGCGATTGTGTTTGCAGGTAAGACTTCTACTTTGTTTCTTTACAAGACATGTGAACAAGCGCCAAGTAAGACAAGATTGGACTTTTGACCTTTCTGAGGTCAGTAGTCAAGACAGCTGTAATAGAAACTGGTTGGCTTTTATATAACGTTAGATTACTAAGTTACGGCAGGATTTACTTAATCGGCTTGTTCATTTTCCACATTGCGTTGTGCTAACCTGGTGAATCAAAGCAAAGTATGAGAACATGCGGGTAGATATTGGCTTGAGCTGCCACTGGTTCAGTACTTTGTCCTAAAACATAGTTGTGTACACAGCCCTCACGGACTTTGCTGTGTACGTGGGTCATCTGTTTTTTACGTTGGAAACTATTGTTTGACAAAACGTTATTGCTGTTTAGCCGTGCCTTTCTAAAATCTTTCTATCCCACTTGTTATAGCACAAGATGGTGGCGCGAGTGAACCTACACCAGTGGTGTCCACTCCGAGTGGGCAGGTGCGAGGCACTGTCCGGTCGGCTCCTGCCATCTCCAACAAACCCGTCTTCACGTTCCTGGGCATCCCGTTCGCAGCGCCCCCTGTCGGCGACCTACGCTTCCGTCCTCCCGAGCCCGTTGCACCATGGGAAGGTGTCATAGACGCCACCGAATTCGGTCCCAGTTGCCCCCAAGACCTGGCACGCGTTCACAAAGTACGCGACTTCGTCCCGTTTATGCTTCCACACGAAATCGTCAGCGAAGACTGCCTTGTTTTGAACGTCATGACAACTTCCCTTGACGTTAGTGCTGCCCTGCCGGTAAGGACTATAGTAGTTAATACACTGCATGTAACGTTATAATTTTCAACTTTTGAATGGTATCTCGACATAAAGACAACCATTTGCAAGAAATCAACTCAAGGAAAACAATGTGACGTGTTTACAACAATCAACAATAGAGTCAGATACACATGTCAACATTGCAGCATTTAATAACATATCCCATGAAATGCAATAGTAGTTAACTTTAATCTAGCAGCCTTTGATACTTAGGCGACAATTTGTTGCGATTCAGGTGATGGTTTGGATCCACGGCGGTTCCTTTGTGTCCGGCACGGGAGCGCTGTACAACTTCACTGCACTTACCGCCTATCAAGACGTGGTTGTCGTCACCGTCAACTACAGGCTAGGGGCATTTGGATTTCTCAGCACAGGAGACGACAACGCGCCGGGGAACTACGCATTTCTAGACCAGGTAAGGAGATTTCTGTGGTTAAGAGAGAAAATTTGAAATTGAATTTAATTTTGTGGTTCAAATGTCAACATGAAACAAAAACAATTCCTGCGCATCTTAATATAGGTCGAGGCATTGAAGTGGATCAAGTCAAATATCCGGAGCTTTGGTGGCGACCCAGACCGCGTCACGATATTCGGAGAATCAGCTGGAGGCGTTAGTGTATCCTACCTGGTAAACCCCTTATATAGACACCCTTAAATCTAGAACATTATCCCTAAAACAATGTATTAACGCTTCAAGATACATTTTTCCAAAAAATGATAAGGTTTATCAGAGTCTTCATAATTGAAATCAATTTCTCATAGATTATACTACACTGCCGTATGAGTAGCTAGAAGAGGCTGTGTATGTTCGTATTTATCAACATTCAGGTCCGCCAACTTGCTATGAAGAAAAGCGTGGAATTTTTTAAAATTCCATATTAAAAGAGTATGATTAGTCTGTTGTGCCAAGTGCGCGACACTCATAAAAGTGAACGGCTAGAATAAGTAGTTTGTTGTCCTTTTTTTCTCACCAGGTCATTTCTCCAACAGCCAAAGGACTTTTTCACCGTGCGATATCGCAGAGCGGGACGGCTCTGACGACGCCAACAACCGCCAACCCTCTAGCCGCAGCCACCGCTCAGGCGGAGGAGGTCGGCTGTGGCGGGCAGGACGTCGGGGCCATGATGTCCTGTTTGCGGCAGACGCCATTTCAGGACATCGTGGACTCTGCATCCCGGGTCGCACGGAAATTGGGCGCTTTTGGTTCAGCAGCTTTCAATCCCGTTGTTGATGGACGTTTTCTTTACGACCCACCACTGGTTTGTTTTCAGCTTACAGAGTTCTTCTTCTAACAGCTTGGTATTTATATATTTCTTCACTTCCATTCTGCGTTATTCCGATGAACATTTTCTTGAAATATTGGAGGGTGATGATTTGAAATAACACTTAAGTTCAATTACAAACAAAACAACTTATGTGACTGACATGAATCTCCAGGATTGACACTTTTTTGTGTGTCTTGCTTCCAGGTTGCGCTGAATAAGGGGGAGTTTAGCAGAGTATCGTATCTGCTTGGCGTTAACAACCATGAGTTCGGGTACCTGCTACCTTCCCTTCTACTTCCTGTGTTCGGTAACGGGATGTCACATGACGTATGTGCAGACATAGTGAGACGTCTGCTGGTAGTCGCAACTCAGGTGATGTCCTACTTTCAGTTCCTCTTACCACGTTCATAACCTAACCATTATCTTGCTACGTCTATTAACCAACCGTATCTAGTCTTTGACACAATCAACTCTCATAACAAATCGATCACTAACACAGCAGATATGCTTCAATACAAGAAAGTCCATCTGTGTTGGCAGTTACAGGTTTAAAGGTAAACATTTTGTTCCAGCAAAAAATGTTAATGTTCTCACTTAGCTAGAACTTTCGACCTGTCACTCCGGTCTTCTTCCTCTCTTCTGTGTTGGAACAAAAAGTTTTACATTAAAACATCAAATGTTCTTAACGCTTCCTACTGTGCACGATATTTCCAGGCTGATAACGTTGATGACACAGTGACAGCTCTGTTAGAGGAGTATGCGGGTCCAGACGCATCAGACGACCCTATGGCCTTGCAGATGAGGATCACGCAGATTGTCGGAGACTTTCTGTTCCTCGTGCCGACAATTCTAGTCGCCAACAGTCATGCAGGTACTTCTGGCTACATGGCAACGTTGTTGGTTTTATTGTCACCTATCAACAGCTTGATATTTCAACATACTAGTATTCACCGAGACTGTGCTTGTTGTTTATAGATCATATTGACATCCAATCTCATAACATAAGAATAGAATGTTTTTTTCGTCTACCTTTCAGCACGCGGTGATCGTGTCTATTTGTACGAGAACCGGCACAGGCCAGCCACGTCCCCGAAACCGGCCTGGGTAGGCTGTGACCACGCAGACGAGCTCGTCATCGTGACGGGGATGCCGTTCCTAGGCGAGGACGGGCCCACCTACCCCAGCAAGCCGCTGCCCTTCTCTGAAGAAGACAGGCAGCTTAGTCTGGACATGATGACGTACTGGGCCAACTTTGCGAGGACGGGGTAAGGTGCTACGTACTTTCCATGGTCATAGGCCTCTTAACCCTCAAATACGTGTCCACTATGATACGTTTCGCATTGTGTCTTATGTGGGTGATTAACCAGTATTTCGTGAACGTTGTGGATCTATATAACCTCCCGTAAACGCGTATAACTTGGACAAACACTGATCACATTCTTTCATTCCCGATAGGAATCCTTCAGACGTCACAGGCAGCCCTTCTGTGAGACCGAACTTGAGCCGGTGGCCAGAATACACCACTGACTGGGCAGCCTATCTCCAGTTATCAGCGACACCGTCTGCCGATGTGAACCTTAAAGCCAACCTTTATCAGTTCTGGTATAATGTTCTTTTCTATCAAAAGGCTTCTGATTCTGCCAAAGACATCAGTGAAAAGGAAGAGCTGTAGCTTGAGTTGTGCTTTAGTAAGATGTCGGCTAACACATGATGAAATATAGCATATTTGCCAGCCATCACAAAATATATTTGGTAATTGTAGTAAATAAGAAAATAAAAATGAAAATGAAAGTATGCATGCATGTATCTTGTGTAAAGAAAGATGAGTTAAAACTTCGCTAAGTAAATGCACCATTGTCCTTGGTTCGGATGTTAAGACGGCCACGGTCCATTTAGATCATTTGTGATGAGAAGTATCATTTGTTTGTTGCGTGGTGTTCCCATCCTACATTGTAAATAGCAGTTCATTTGACCTTGACTCAAAATGACAGAAGTCAGTCCTTCGAACATGTTAGATGAAGTATAACCAAGGTCAGGGCTCTCAAAATATTATAACAACAATCCATTTTGGTCATCTCATTCCCCCAGGACCTATGGTGGTTTTGAACATCATAATGTTGTAAACAAGTTTGTGTAATGCTCTCCCTGTAGGGTGTGTAGAATATAAATGTTTCCGCCGCTGTAGCCCTGGTGTGGGTAGCCTGGTGTCCAGTCTATCGTGGTTGAGGCGGGCTCTCTTCGGGGCTCTATTGCCCCCACCCCGCCCACCTCAACTGGCCGCTCGGTGGGAGTTTTACACGGCAGAAGTTGTGTTATCAGCGTTATATCACCCACATAAGACACAAGGCAAAACTTACCATACGCATGTGAACACGTACTTAAGGACACGCATTTGAGAGGGCCTAGGGACATGGGGAGTAGCGCCTTACCCCGTCCTCGCAAAGTTATCCTTCTGTAACCCCACCACAATCGTTGTGGGCTAATTGAACTACCATCGTGCAAAACCTACCGGAGTGTATTAGTTCCGAAGAGCTTCTGTAGCCCCGAAAAAGCCGGCCCAAACCGCGATAGACTGGACACCAGGCTAAGGTGTTGGAGGAATGACCCATGTCTATCTAGTTGGGCGGTTCGTGCGCCACCTGGGAAATTTCCTTCAACACGTTGCTCAATGAAAGTAGAAACGAGAGGCCTTGAACAGTCAAACATCATTTCGGACCACAACATCGATCCCTCCCGGACCTGTTGTAGGGGGAAGGCTGAGATTAGAAATTAGACCACATTGAATTTTCTGGACCCCTGCACACGGAATCAAACAATTTAGATCTTATTACAGGCGAGGCTCGTGCTCGGAATTAGAAGACGAAAGCTTCAGGGGTCAACGTTCGTGCGAGTTTGGTACACCATAACTTACTCATACTTTGTTACCCTTTTTTGCAAGGTATACTTTTTAATTGTGTGATGAGAATGAAATGAGTACCACATAGACCATCCTTCAACGAGATTCGGGTACTCAGATTCAGATTTAAATCATGGTTCTGAAGGCTGATACAGGTGGACACGTACATGAATGGGTAACTTTTCTCTGGAGGAATCCCTGTCTCCACGATCTGGTAAGAAACTTTAACATTGTTTGGCATCACACTTTCAACTAACACAACACAATTTCACGATCTTAGACGATTGGCGCGAGGCAGTACCGACGTTATAGTAATACGAGTACAAATAGCATGGCAGCTGAGAACGATGTGATGTGAAATGATTCAATCTTCCTCCCGGGGATACACGTCCAGCAAAATGGACGTCGCAATTTTTACCTGCGCACAAAATTTGCCCCAAAGGATCACTTTAGGAACTGAATTACAGACACTGTAGCTTCCTATCACCGTCAGAAGTGAATTTCCCAGCAAATGAGTGTTGCCGTTAACAATTCGGTGTTACGTTGGGAATGGGATAGACGCCATTAAATATAATGAAGACGGCGGGCAGTTATGATGCCACATGAAGTTTTCAATCAGGAGAGAAGTTGTGGGGTTAATCCCTGGAGCAACTATTCGTCACATTACTTTGATTAATTTTCACAATTGGATTTTAAGGAGTAGTAATTTATCGATTACTACCATACGCACTACACACAATTATCTGGAACGTAATTATCTGGATGAAAAATGTACAGCATTAGTCCACTTTCAAGGACATATCATATGGTTTCCTTCTGTACCCTAATGACTGCTTGCAGCACGTTTGTTATCCTTGTCAAGGTTTGCCAAAAACCGTGCCAACACTGAGGGGCGACACCTACCGACATTTCTATGAAGCGTTTACCACAATATCAGCTGCAGTTTACGGTTGGTGGTAATAGAAGTTACAACTAATCTTTGGAACAAATCTTGCAACAAATGACAACATACCACGTACAAAGTTTAATTGATCATGACAAAAATGTGTGGTGCACAATACCATCATCCCTGCCTGTGCCTCATATGTATTTTGTTGCCGCAATTCAAATTTAAGCAGACGCAAAAAGTAGATGCGTTCTGGTATGATACACAATACATAAACTTTACATGATAGGCAGCGTTACTTCTTTCTTCTAAATATCTCTTGCAAAATTCGTAAGGGCGAAAGCCCAAAAAATCTGCTTTGATTGTTTGAAAAAGAATGGATTTTATAACTTAGCGACGCATCAGGAAAGGTCGTGGAGGTAAAGAGTTGCAGATAAGTGTTATTTTTGGTTGTTTTTCATTAGTCCTTGCACTGTCAACAGTTACTTTTTCCTGTGGTATTTACTTTGTTATGCTTATCGCCATCCTGTGTAATTTTACCTCCTCCTCTTCGAACCTTCCCGATCCGTTTTTCCCTCATTTTTTATCATGATTAAAATGCTTTTCCAGATCCATACAGACTATAGAATGCTCTTAAGAAATAGAATATATACCTGACTACGTTATCAGAAATTAAACATCATATCCGTATCTGTTATAGACACGTACACATATACATGACGTCCAATTCGTGTAGTCATCACATGCATATGCAAGTAGTATACATATTCAACTGGATAAAGTGAAATCTACTCAGGTTACCACCGTTCCCAGTTCTGGTACACAATCATATTGTACAACCGTCACAAGATGCCACCTTAATTCTTACATTTTGCAATATCTCCTGAATATATACATATATTCATGCATTACCTGTTTAGTTTAACGGTAAAAAAGGGCCAAAGGACCAGGCACTAGGAAAATGATTTTTTTAGGTGTAGCAGTCCGCATGTCACCCCGCACAGGGAAGGTAGAGACCCCGTGTAGCAGTCTAAGTGCCACCCCCTGCAGTATTCCCTTCCCCAGCCGCCACTTCGCCTCTACCTTCGTCACCTTTCCCTAGTCCCTCTGACACATGCTTTCTCACTGATGCTAAGTAGTGGTTTGCTATGTCCTTACTAGCCCCTTTCCCAGACAACTTGAGCTTAGCTCTTTTGAACCTACTGAGGGCACGAAGAACATCATCACCAACTAGAGCACCCCTTTCTGCTTTTACTTCGTCATCAATGTTCTTCAGAGCAGTTTTCATTCTATCATTTTCCTCTTTCATCTTGTCGTACATGTCTTTCAAACTGTCAACTTTTGATCTCATTTCATGGAATTCTTCATAAGTCACTTCATCCTTTGCTTCCACCCCGGTAACATTCTCGTCATCCTTTGAACCACTCATTCCTTCTTCCATTCCTCTAACAGTACCCAAACTCATTTCCCCTGTCGGCACGGCCTCCTCTTTCACCAACTCATTCATTCCATCTTGTGGTTCTGCTGGAATATCCTTATCGTTTACTTCATCTTTCACTGATTCTCCCCCTTCTTCTGTATTCTTTATCTTATCCTCCCTACCATCTACAGTCTGACGTAGACCATCGCCCGGCTCAGCTACCTCTTCACTCAATATGTTCATCCCCTCTGTTAGCTCACTTTCTTCTTTCCTTGTCTCCCCCTCCTCATTTCTAACTGCTGCCCCACTTTCATCAATGTTTATTTCCTTATCGCCCTGCTCTTCTGTAGTTTTGCCAATGTCGTCTGTTATTGTATGTTCTTGTTCTTCTGTCATTTCTTTAGTCATCTGAGCATGTTCATACATCCCGTCTTTTACTTCATCTTTCATTGATTCAACAACTTCTTCTGTTTTCTCTATCTTGTCCTTCCTATCATCTACTGTCTGACTTAGACCCTCGCCTGTATTCACCACGTTCACTCCCTCTGTTAGGACACTTTCTTCTTTCCTTGCCTCCCCCTCCTCATTAATAACTGCTGCCCCGCTTTCATCAATATTTATTTCCTTATCGCCTAGCTTGTCTGCATTTTTGCCAAGATTCACTGATATTGTATCTTCTTGTTCTTCTGTCATTTCTTTAGTCTTCTGGGCATTTTCATACATCCCGTCTTTTACTTCATCTTGTATTGACTCTCCCCCTTCTTCTGTTTTCTCTATCTTGTCCTCCCTATCATCTACCATCTGACTTAGACCATCGCTTGGTCCAGCCGCTTCTATATTCAACATGTTCATCCCCTCCTCACTTTCTTCTGCCCTTGACTCCCCCTCCCCATTTCTAACTGCTGTCCCGCTTTCGTCAATTTCCTCGTCGTTACCGCCCATTTTTTCTGCATTTTTGCCGAGATCCTCTGCTGTTGTAGATTCTTGTTCCTGTACTTTTACTTCAGTTTTCTGAAAATGTGCATCCATCCCATCTTTTAGTTCATCTTTCATTGATTCGCCCCCCTCTTCTGTTTTCTCTTTGTCCTCCCTACCATCTACCGCCTGACTTACACCTCCCTTGACCATCTCCCATCCAACATATTCACCCCCTCTGTTAGCCCACTTTCTTCCTTCCCTGTCTCCTCATTTCCCTCCTCATTCCTAACTGCTGTCCCACTTTCATCAATTTTCCTTTCCTTATCACCCAGCTCGTCGGCAGGTTTGACAAGATCCTCGCCTGTTATCTGTCCCTCTGTTATTTCTTCCGTTTTCTGTTTTAGACCCTGATCTTGATCTACGGATCCGTTCTCTTCCTGTGTGTCCTGTCTTACAGTTTCACTATGATCACTCAGTTCCAACCCATCTATATCTGCATTTTTGTTCTCCCCTTTCTTTTCCATGTTTGTACTCTCTTTCAATTCACTTTGCTGCAAGGTTTCGTCTATGACATCAACATGGTTTTGCGTTATCTGATCTTTCTGATCTTTATCTTCTTTCATTCTTTCATTTTCTACCCTTTCTATCTCATGATCACTCTCTCTTTTGGTCTTATCAGCCACGGTGTCTTTACTTTCCTCCCCCATTCTTCTCCCCTGTACTTTCAAGAGAGAAATATCCTCTTCCTGCTTTTTCAGCTCAGGGTTTTCCTTCCTGATATTCTCCAGTTCCCCTCTCGAGTCGATGTTTTCCTGCCTATGCTCTAAGTATTGCGCCTGTATCATGTCCTCTTTACCCCTTTCCTTCTCTCCTGTCATCCCGTCTATTCCCCCTCTTAACTTCTCATTTTCTAGTTTTAGTTCCTGATTCTCCTGTCTGATCTGTTCACTCTCCTGCGCCACCCTCTCAGCCTGGGCCTCGATCATATCTGCCTGTCTTTTGACCTGTTGGCTCTCCATTTCCAACTCTTTCACATTCTGTTCTAAGGTTTCTCTTTTCTTTTCCATCACAGAAATCATTTTCTGCTTTTGCTTTTCCAGCTCTGTTACCTTGTGTCTCAGTTCGTCAAGAGCTCTCTCGTGTTCCCTCAGTATAGTTTCCCTCTCTTCTAAGACCTTACTCTTTTCCTCTCCCACTCGTTCTATCTCACTTTTCAGTTTGTCATTTTCCTGTTGCAAAGTCTGTACTTCTGACTTTTCTTTATCCACCGTGCCAATGTTTTTTCTTAGTTTGTCACCTGCTTTGACCGACTCATGTTTTATCCTATCCCTATCCTGTTTCACTTCTTCAAGAACCCGTTTTAATCGCTCCACTTCCTCCTGAGTCTCTGCATGTTCTCGCTGTTCATTCAACTCTGTCATGCTAGCCAAAGCTTCCATCTCCTTTTTCACCCTGTCTATTTCTTTCTTTAACCCTTCATTCTCTCCTGCCATCTTTTCGTGCTCACACTTCACTGTGATCAATTCCTCTTTTAGAATGTCGATGCTTTCATCCTTCATGGTGATTTCTTGTTTTAGTTCCTTATTTTCGTCTCCTACGTGTTTATTTTCTTTCTTCAGAACTTCATTTTCTTTCACTACCTTTTCAAGATTTTCAACCAAACCTTCCTTTTCTGCTAGTGCCCTCCCCTTTTCCTCTTTTAAAAGCTCTAGAGCTTTCTCTATCTCTTCATTTGCTTCTCTTACCCCATCTTTCATCTTCTCAACTTTTTCTTTCATCGCTTCCATACCTGCCTTCATCTGTGCATTCTCCTCTCCCAGTTTTACTATGGTAGCTTCTTTCTCTTCTCTCACTTTTTCAATTTCAGCTTTCATTCTATCATTTTCCTCCCTCCAGTCTTCATTCAATCTCGCGTTTTCCTCTTTCATTCTTTCCATTTCGTCAGTCATACCAACTCCCCCTGTCAATGCCCTCTTTAACTCCTCATTTTCCTGTTCTAGTCTTTCTATTTCCTCCTTAAACTGGTTGCTTTTATCCATGAAACTCTCTCTCAACCTTTCGTTTTCCTCTTTCACTTGTTCCATTTCTTCTTTCGTGCTTCCATTTTCCTCTTCCACCTGTCTCAAGCTTTCATTCTCCTCATTCACTCTTTCGTACATCGCCTGTAGCTCCTCCTTGTTTGACCCTAACTGCTTAATCTCACCCTCTAGCTTCTTGATGACTTCCTCTGAATTCTCTTTACCCTCAAGAAGCCGTTGTTCTATATCTCCCAGTAACTCCTCCCTCTCTTCTTCTAACAATCTATTCTTCTCTATCAACCTTTCCTTTTCTCCCTCCAAAGCTATGTTCTTCTCTACTAGGGCCTTCTTTTCTCCCTTTATCGTACTTATGTCTGTCTCGACCTTCCTGCTATCCTGTTTCAGGGCGTAGACTTCTTTCACCAGAGCCTCGGTGTCGTCCTGTAGCGTGCAGATGCGTTCTTCCAGCCAGCTCACCTGCTCCGCTATCTTCTCCTGGTGTTTGGCCACCAGTTGTGAAGGCGAAACTATGAGAAGGAGAGGCTCAGATCAATGGACATCTACCATAACTACTAGAGAAAATTCTGGCAATATGATAACCAATTGAAAATTATTTTGCCCAGTGTCAAAAAGGGGCCTATGTTACTCCTGATTATCCTATAGGAAGTCCTTTCGGCAGATACCAAGTCCTCCTGGCGCCAAGCATTTGGATGTCAGTGGTATCAGAAAAAGGCGCGAAATATACCGTCTCTCGAGGGTCACGCGATAGTAAATTTCAGCAATGCCATGCAAGCTACTCTCCTGAGGTGGTAAACAACAGGTGGGCATTTTATGGAACACACTACGGGAAATAATTAATGACTTGCCAAATAGCGTTCACTGGAGCACTGGGAAAGCCTGTTGTTGAACAAATACTCTATCAAGCTTAAAGGTGTTCTAGTGACAAACTTTTTGTACCGTGAAAAGTTATCATACAGTGCTAGAAAAAGACGTATTTGCCAAAATAGTACATTATATCTGGTAGTCTCAGCCCTACAATATTGCAGACTTCAAATGCGCGCAACTAGTACATTTTGATATTACCCAGTAACAGAATTCACACAGATAATAACTTACACTTTGCTCTGACATGTAACAACATTACTACAGGTAAACTTGTAAGCTGCCCTACCTGGGGTGTCGCGTTTGATCTTCTCCCAGCTGAGTCTGTGTGGATCGTCAGGGACTCCGTGTGGGAACTCTGCCATTGTGAATCCTGAGAGAAAAAAGAGAGAAAGAAACATTTGAAGAAAAATGTCTACGTTGCTTCAAGTCTCTGTGTAACATTTTTCTCCTCGCGTTTCCACGAGGACCTGTTTTTTGTCCACAGCTTGCATGGCCTCTCCTAAGTAAGACACACACTTCCATGTTAGTTATTATTTGTCGCTCCAAACATTTGTGAGTAAGTATCCCATATGAATTCTCTGGGGTAACTAACATTCAGCACAATCTTTCTATGCACACTGCACATTTGTACCAGGCATTACTATTAGTATCCTCATATCCGGCATTGTTTCATACTGTCATAAACGATCCTTTCCATTTAGTAAAGCAAAGGAATCATGTCTCATCTGAAACGTAAAAGATTCACATTATTATTCCATCCATTTCGAAAAGCGTACTGTTTCTTTATAATTTACCTACAAATGGAGTTTCCTCCTCCAGTAGAACTGCAAGTTCCCCGGCCCGGTCTGTCACCACGTCCTGCAGGTGCCGGAAGGTGTTCGGACCGCCGGTCGGCAACAGGTGCAGCAGGCGGCGGGCCTTGTCAGCGTTCTCCCGCCCGCCTTCAACAAGCTCCCGCTGTTCCAAAGTGATGTCGCCTTCTTCGAAAAGTACGGACGTCACTTCGCACACGATGTCGCTCAGTCCTTCGGCGAGTTTGCTGCTTCTCTGACGGAGTAGCCGCCGGTGCCTGTCCTCCATGGATGGAAGTCGTGAAGGTGTGTTCTGTGGACCACGCCCGACAGAGTAGTGGACACGAAAACACGTTTTTATGATCTTCTGGGTTGTATCGCCTTACATACCTCGTTGTCACATGGCGTGTGGGAATTTCTACATTCCAAACTTGTATAAAAAAAAAAAGAGAATGACATATTGCTGATTAAGAAAAACATCCCATACATGTATGTGATATCGAGAATGATAACGCATCGGGAAAGTTTGGAATTCCTTTGTTTACGCTAGGCCCTTTGTTAAGGTTATGGCATGTCACGAATATTAAGGAAAATTGTGAACATTCTTTTGCGTTGCTAAAACGGTTCGTTGTAGTGTTTAAGTTATCGGCATCAACTGGACGAATCACTTGTCATTCAGGTGTTGACTTTTCCAACAGCATTGATTGTAATATATATCTAATGCTGTTTACAGCGGCTAATAGTATTATGGCATATGGCTTTTACCGAACTGCATTTTGAAATAAAATGGACTGAATTTCGGGGATACTTTCATTTCCTACCTCTTAAGGCTGAAACAAACTTGCGCCGCCCTAACCTAGTTATGCTGTCATCCAAGGACAACACAACTTGATCAGTACACAGGTGTGGGAACCCTGGGACAGGTGACAGGTACTCTAGAGAGAGATCTCAGGCACATGCGCTACCAGAGCAGCGCTGCACATGTGGAGACAGTCGCCATGCTGAGATCGCTCCCGCCGTGTACCGCGTGGCTCCTGCTCGGGGCCTGCGTCTCCCTGCCCCGAGGCGTCCAGGCCGGGTTCGGCCAGCCTGTCAGCTACGTCAGGGACGACCGCTTCAAAGAGATGGGGCAGGCGACGCTGAAAACCTTCGACATCGTGGGAGGTAAGATTAAGATGATGTCAGGAAATCGGAATGCATGCACTTCTCAAACAAAGACGTAATATAAAGAGCCATATATACGATTTTCAGAGACACTGTAAAAACTAAATACCTTGTGGTCAAAGTAAAATAAATCTACTCGTGGAATGGACCTAGCTGGGCCTGAAAAGGCCGCTGCTAACCAAAGCACACAAAGGTAATTAGGTTATAATTAAGAGCGGGAGATACTTGTTATCATGGTAACGGCCATTTACAAAATAGCGGATCTTTACTTCGTGATGCCGTGGCAAAAATATTCAGCATGAAGTATAAAATCCCACAACCTAGTATCATTTGTACTTTATTGCCCTTTAATAACATGAGGTGTCACACAAGAGGGTACGCCCGTTGAGTATGCTATATTCAAACATTTACTACCACTAAAAAATCATCATCCATGCCCTCTGTAGAAGACGCCGTGTTGGGAGTTGAACTAGAGAACACGGTTGGCGAGGACGAGGTTTGGGTTCTTGACTTCCAGCCGTTCGAGACTAACGACACCGGGCGTCCTGTGGTGACCAACGTGACGACAGGGACAGCCATGCTTCTGGCAGAGCGCACGGGGGAATGCTCAAGTGTCTTCCGGTCCAGCTCCGCAAACGTAAGATGTACCCAGTCTTATTGCTACTTTATTGCCCAAAGCTGTAGGAAAATATACAAGTTTTATCAACCACTACAATTTGTTTAAAACTGCATCATGCGATCAAAGTCATTACTGCAGATATCGGGCGCGTCATTTATTGCAATAATTACACAGATTGCTAGGCAGCGCTTTTGAACCGTATCGTGATGGGTTCACCTATCACTTTCTTAAAGACACTGAAAAGCCATTCAGTGATGGACATAGCCTATTTTTCTTGGTATCGTCGTAGCGTACACATGCGGGTTTCTATGATGATTCCTGGTTTCCGGAGTTTATGAACACAACCGGAGACAAGAAATTTTTCAACAACTACACTCGTGGTGAGGTGGCTGCTGGACAACCCATACGGCTGGATAACGTTATCTTTGCTGGTGAGATATAGATCTTAACGTCTAGAGTGATAGGTATAACGTATAGAATAATAGGTCAGTTTGTTTTTTTATGCCATGTTGTATGCGACTGACTTGTGCTATACCCACATATAGTCTTAAAAAGAAAACATGGAGATGTCATTAAAATCATGGATAATGTTAAGAATGTTAAAACTTTTCCGTAACTTACACAGGTCCTATGGCGACGTTTTTCAACTGCAAGAATCAGGACAACACTTCTATCTGGGAGAGACACAACTATACGGAACAGTTTGAGTACAACACCACTCTCTACATGACAAACGTCAGACCTAAGGTACCACGGATTTCACATACTAGTAAATTACTTTAATCAGTAGAATCATGATTGCCTGTGTGCTAATTTTTGAACACCACACCGCAATATTGAAGCCAAACTTTGAAAGTATGGTACAAATTATTTCACAACAAAATACAGCAGTGATAGAGTACTAATATTGACAACACTTCGCGTAGCGTTCGTGTAAGCCATCACGAAATCGCCGGCGAATGCGCTTGGGTACCAGGCGCCAACGTGGATTCAGTGTTCGAACGGACACAAATTGTACTGTACCACTATGTACATGGCATACCGATGGTTACATTTCATATTTCACAACAGGTTGGTCCCTACGGTTCGTCCTACGTGCAGAGCCACGCCGTGTTGTACTGGCGCCTGCTGAGGGTCGCGATATCGAAGTTCCTCATCAGCTCTACAAGACAGATCAGACCGGTGTTCGAGTACGCCATTGTCAAGGCTCATTACGACGCCAACGGTGACCCTGACTGGTAGGTCATTCGTTTTAACGATCTTTTCTTATTAGTTACCTCTCGATACATCCAAACAGATCAAACTAAAGTCAAATAATTAATCATCATCTATAAACCTAGATAAAGGGAAGTACTATCTATTTTACTTTCCTCTTGGCCAGGGCGGTGCTATATTGATCACACTTTCTTTATAACGCATGCGACAAACAACGCGTTTTTTTTTCTTTTATAGGACAAAGGCTCGAATAGAAATGGCCTTCAAAACCGTCATGGACTCGGACAGTTACCTGATGGCGGCCTACCGATCTAACTCCCTGGTGTACCAGCCTCTCAATAACAACAACTCTCTACACGACGTTATCAACGAACCATCTTACAACGGTACTTTCTTATACATCATCTTCTTTTAGCACGTGCACGTGTCCACAATGGTTGGAAAAAGAACCATTTCAGCAATGTACCTTATCCTTTATCTATTGTTAACACGTAAATACCACCTTCAATAGTCGTGTTTTGTTTGTTCTCGAGACAAATCAGACATCGCATGCTATTTAAAAACGCATATCCTCATACCTTTGCACGAAACATGTGTTTATAGATTGAGTTTTGAATCCTCCTTCCCTCCACCGTCGCTCTAGACTCATCCCCTGCCCACGACATGGCGGCTGCAGTCCCGGTCTGTGATTTTGATGACGTGGTGGCCCCGGGCCTGTGTGTACAGCGATGGGTCTTCCACATCGTTCTCAACGTGTTCGAGTTCGGGAAGGATGTTAGAAATGGGGAGCCAATAGATGCCACTGGTCAGTATGCCTAGTGTTGTGGGTACTGTCCTTGGTGCTGATCATGCTATTTCGTTAGTAGCACACGTTCTGCCTTATGGGCAACAAAGAACCAGTTAACCCTGTCTCTTTCTTCTCCGACTTTTCTTCTTTTTTTTCGTTGTGATTGACAGAAATAACAAAGCCGCGATTTGTTAACTGTATCTGTCATGTACCAGTCATGTACAAAATAATAAGTCAAAGATGTGTCAAAATGCTCAAAATACACTACATAGCACCATGTGATGTTATCCCACTAATCTTCAATTCAGGAAACTTTGTCTTCAAATTCCTGTACCTGCGATGCCCGAACATGACTGACAACATCATGACCACCTGTTCCATCCTGACTGTTGCCGACGCGGAGATTTCAGCACAGATCACTCTACAAACCGTCGTGGAGGTCACAGATGACAACAACGACAATCCAAGGTCAGACAAACTCTTAGAAATGGATTCTGTGGCTGTGGGGGCGTGTGGCGGAACGGCTCTTCTCGAATCCTGCCTGATCTTGTGCCCTTGGGAAAGGAACTTTACACGACTTTCAGCACATAACTCGGGTAGAAATGAGTATTGTTTATGTCTACGTTGGTGGCGGCATAAGAATAAGTTCAAAAACTTGAGTGTGCCGTCACAATGTCTTTGTTAAATGTTGGAATAGAAAAAATGGCTTCTGTGATTTAAACTTAAAATATGATAATGGAAATAATTTCATCAGGTTAATAGAACATAGGATATTGGGATAGTACATAGGACAGTACATGTACATGGCGATAGTCATCTTTGCCCATGTTTCCCCCCCAGAGTGGAGGTGAGAACCGTGTACGGAGTAGACCCATCACGTGACCTGCAGGGCGGGGTACCCCCCGGGGTGTCTCATCTGGAGGAGGTTACCATGGAGACGCACTTCTTCCCAGCATTCCTGCGCACACGGCTACAGATGGAGCTGACCCTGTTCCTGGTGTGCGTCGGACAACAATACTCCACAACTCAGTATCCAGATGTAAGTTAGCACACTACTACACAGTGATCATGTCTAGCCAGTTAGTGACTTTTTTTTAAAAGATCGCTGATAGCCAGTACATGCGATTTTGTACTCAAAGTGCAGCAAGCTGAAATCAGAACATAACAAGAATTCACAGATCTTCAATGAATTGTTCAGATCTTGTGTGATCCAGTATTTGCCGGGGTCTTTTTTTATCGTGCAATCGAAACAACACCAGTTGGCAGCTGTCAAGGAGGTCTTGTAACGAAAATCACCTACCAGATGTAAGACGTGCAGAGAGAGAGACAGGCAGACACAGACAGACAGACACAGACATACAGACCAAAAACGATACCTCCATTTATCATGGATGTAAACATGTATTATCTCTCGTCAATCAGGGCTGTCTGAGGGCTCCCACGTCCGACCGTTACTCGGCGTACGAACACCCAGACTTCCGGTACGAGGGTCAGGATGAGGCGGGGAATCCGGTCACGTACACGGCAGACGATATCGAGTCGCCCATTCAGGTAATATCAAACACGTTTGAAGCTATGGCGAGGTCGCATTTTTCATCCTTTTAAGGTGTAATTGTATCAGCCAAACACATTGCACATTCAAACATTTCACAAGAGAAAAGATAGTGTTTTCTAATCATCACTTCTAGCCTGGGTCCCGTCCTGGTAAGTTTACATCCGCTCCCAGAGCCCAAATCCGTATGACATCTTTTCTTTTATTACAAACAGATAATTTTAGTTAACATAAAGTAAACAGTTTTCAATAAACTAGCCTTTATATATATAGCCAGCCTATATTTGCCGTGGTTGGTCGGTAGCGACTGTGGGAGTGGACGTAAACCAGGATTTTACACAGGCAACATTATTACTTCACGGCATGACTCCAAGAAGCTATTTTCAACCCTTTTTCAGTCCCTGTCCTACAACGGTTATGTCGCGGATAGAGAAGTCCATCAGACCAAGTTCATCAACAGAGCTCTGTCCGGGGTGTCGGAAACCTACACCTTCACCAGTGTCTTCCGTCTCACCTCGCTGGAGGGCAGGAAGAAACGACGGGTCCAGCGAGACATCATGGTCAAGGCCGCTGTTCCTCAGGGGCTGAGCCACGCCTTACTGTAAGGTTTCATGCTCCTGTGTTTCTCATTGTTTTGAATTAGATAAAATGTTTCTATCCAATCACATTGTGTATTCCTTTGTGTCTTGGCAGTTGCCATATATTTTTACCCGCTTGGTTTATAAGGATTGTTCTGTCTGTTTGTTTGTTTGTTTGCTTATTTGTTTGTTTGTTTGTTTGTTTGTTTGTTTGTTGAATCTGTATAAGATGAGTGTATCTACATCACCTTACAAAAAAGTAAGGTTTCATACTATACTTAATACTGTCCGAAGCATGTGTTCAAGGCTTTATAGTAATGTGTTTGAAACATTTCTAATCGGTGTCATCTCATATTGTGTCTTTAAACTATTAAGATTGTATCAGCTGGATTGTATATTGTTTCGTAGATTTGCCGGATGTCCAGAAAACTCGACCTTCGTCAGAGAAAAACTAGACTGTGTCTGCATCAACCACGGAGAAGTCTACAGCGCTAAAACATTCCGCTGTGAGAAGGGCCTCCTCACCGAGGTGGAGGTTAAGGAGGACCCGGAAGTTAAGGAATCAGGCTCCACCCCTCTGGAGAACATGCTGGGCCTAGCCGGCTACATCGGGATTGTTCTATTGTGTTTAGCATTGAACAATTGAGCATCCAGCCAGTTGGTAAAAAAACATACAATTACAACACACAATTACATCGAAATTATGACAGATTGATGTGGAATATTGTCGTCAAAACATGAACATAGATTTTGTACAGCTCTGTAGATATAGAGATATTGTTATCTATAAATGTTATAATGTTTTGGTATGATCGTATTTCAATGTAACGTTATATCATTAAATTCTAGTTCCACCATACGAATTTGTGTTCAGTATTAATTAGACCGTTGAATTGAATCAGGACGTTAAGTCTGAATCCTCCAGTTCAACATCTATTCTATGATTCAATTTCAATTCTGATTCATTCACTTGAATTAGTAGAGGATACTCGCCCCGACGTAAACTACCTAATTCACGACAGATAAAATGGGCATGACACACTGATTGGATATAGACATCCTTTTATTCTGATCCACTCCATGCAGCGAAAAATAGTACAGCCGTGAATAAAGTAAGGTAGCATATTCTTGAAGTGACGATGCCTAAAACACTCAAATACTTCAACCTACGTATACTTGTAAGACACTTTAATTGAATTAACTTAGAATTGGTTAGTTTTCTAAAATCCCTTAAAATTGATATTTAAGGATAAAATGGCCGCGTTTTGAATATAATCTTTTAGACAAATTTTGACATTGATACCAGAAACCAATTTAAAAAATGAATCAGCATTTAGCCTTTGAACCTATAAATATTCTGGAAATCGAATCAACCTGTTTGGATTCCTTGTTTGGCTATTCTTTTCATCTTTATAAAACACCAAGGTCACTTTTGGTCAAGGTCAAGGTTGAAGGTGTTTGAAGACTACATAATTATAAGCATATATAAGTACAACAACAGTCCAAGTCCTGTCTGAATTGGTTTTTACGAAGGTTTTGCAGACGTTAGCAGAACAGACAGCCTGCATCAGTTGGTCATGACAGATTCGTCGCACACCGATGGATTTAGTGTTTGTGATGCGGGTTTGTTAAAAAGCTATATACAAGAAGATAAGTAATGGTGCTTTAACTATTCAAGTATCAGGTACATACAACCTGATAGGTTAATCAATTCAATGTAAATTTAACTTAGAGCCAAATTGTTGTTTCTTGTTTGTTAATAACTATTTAACAAGCATGCAAATAAGAACATCCAATGCAATTTTAGGGCGGCAAAACTAGAAATATTCTGAATAATGCATGATATTGACACATACTGTTCACATGAGCACATTTGAATCAGCATTTCCTACTTTGGGCATTTAAAACTGCAGAAACGAGCCCCAAGGTTAGTCCTTTATTTTCTGGGTGGTACCCTAAAAATCAATCCAGGTCCTTCCATTAATCGTTTTTCGTCAGAATTTTGGGAATTTTTTCTCCATGAATGTCGATATACATTGGGACAGTGTTGTTTCAACTTAGTATGTAGATATGTGACTAGAATATTGACTTTGAAAAGGCCCTAAAAACTGCACTGGATGCCTTTAAAGTATCATCCATGGTATTCGTATATACGTAACATGCAAACAAAGATTCATCTTGTCACTCTGGTGACAAACATGCAAGTCGTTCTGGGATGGCGAAGGTCCTGTGGTCCTGTGTCTCTTACACATGGAAGCCGGATTTCTCCTGTTGGAAACACAAAGGAATCGATTTAATATTAACTAAAGAATGGCAAACATGGTTGTATGTATAGTGTAATGTAATGTACTTTCAATTCACAAATGGAGAGTCACTGAAGTAAACTTCTAATCCCCAAGAAAATATTTTGGTGGCTGCAAAGACAGTATCGAATTGGCCAGGTAGTCATCAATTTGTCAGGCATTTACCACTTACCACCATTACTAAAACGAAAGCCCAATATAAACGTCTTAAACACATCAAAAGTAAACTACCAAAGTGGAGGATATTTGTAAGACACCCTGACGGTTAGAGAGTTGGAATCTTACCAGGTTCCTTGGGTAGGTCTCCATCCTCCCGGATGGCTGGGAGGACCCTCCGGCTACAAATGCCTCTCGGCGGGCCGTGCCTGGTGGGGAGGGGGCGGAGTCACGTCCACCTTGCTGCTGGGATTGCCAGCCACTGCCCGCGCGAAGCAGAAGGACAGGCCGAGCATGATGAGGAACAGGAACACTCCACACACCAGCCCCGCCACGATCTCACCTGGGGTGGCCGGCTTCTGGATGGGAGCTGTCTTCGCTGTAAATATATATCATATCCAGATCACCAGGGAGGCCGCTTGAGGCCATAAATGTAAATAAAAAGCTCACATTTAAACATGCCAAAAATTAAAAGTCATCATGTGCATTGTATACATAATACTCGATATTCATTTTGAATTTTGGTGTCCTTTTTCAACTAAAAATGCTCTTACTACTTAGACTAATAAATGACAATGGCAATGAGTACAGAGAGCAGTGAGTACTGGTATTATGCTACGTTTATCCTCTTGAAAAGGCCTAACATCGTGTACAAGCTAATGCCCAGTGAGAAGAATAATATCAACAAAGAGAGAAACAATGCAATAGAGCCAGGATGACGACGGGAAGTCCGTACCTGGATTGACCATGCCCCCGTCCTGCAGTAGGGACGACCTGTAGATGTCCAGCGGGGTCCCGTTAGGTGAGGTGGCGCCCAGGTAGCCCTTCCACATCGGCTCGGCGATGGTGTCCACCGCGTAGAAGTTGATGGTCTCGCTAGGATCGGTGGTCTCCAGTAGGTCGTAGGAGCAGATGCAGCCCACGCCGACAACTGAGGAACATAGGGAATGGCATGTAATGTTATTACGAGTTGGCGTTGGGGAAGGGGAGTCAACCATGACAAAGCATGGTCTTCATACACACCGTAATGTTTGATTCATTTGGTGCGTACTCCGCACCAATCGCGACACGCCAACCCAAATTCTTACAAGGTTCTACCATTTCATTAAGACCATTATAGATATCCCTGTTTCCCTCAGACAGTTTTAAAGAGACTGGGCTTCCACAAGACATTACGGAAATTTCTCAACCTTCCAAGTCCAAGGAAACAGTAATCCGGCCCCAGAGGTGCTCATTCCCCCTGAGCACTTTACTCCGACTGAGGGGTGCTGCTCAGTATCTACTTTTAGCACAAGAAGGACAGTTCTGTAGTTTATCGTACCGTCTAAGATCGCCAGGTTCCTGACGCGAGAGGTAGACACCCTCATCTTCTCTGCTATGAAGCCGTGGAAGGAGGCAAGGAAGCCGGCCTGGTCCCCGCTGGTCACCACGCTACAGTTCTGCACGAACGTGAACTCGATCGCGTTCTTCTCCGGGGCCGGAGTGACCGGGGCCGGGGTGGTTGGCGCCACGTACTCACCCTCGAACAGCCTGGGTAGAAGGACGAGAACCAGAAGGTGTTTACATACATGTGAATTATGATCCTGGTGTAGACAGAAAATTATGGAGAGATACAGACTGAAACATCTAACCTAAGTAGTGGATCTGTCATCAACCTACGATACAAACCATGTGGGTATGGAAACTTGACATGGCCTTCAACTGAATTTGCTGAGCATCAATTAGATTACTTGGTGGTATGACTGATAAGAAGTTACTGAAGGGAACTCACGCATAGTAACCTCCCATGTGGGTACAGCTGCAGGTGACGTAGGGCACTCCGCCCACATCCCGCGGCACCAGGTTGGTGCTGCAGCCGGTGGTGGTCCACTCATTCCCCGACCAGCGCCGGCACTGACAAGAACCAAACACACGGAACGTTACATGGAAGGATATACATGTACAATAGAATCATTATTATCTGCACTCTCGTGCCACTCTCAAAGCCACCCTCCAAGACTTTTCCATGGAGTCTTGGGAAAGGTAGCAAGGGATAGAAGTAAGTGGAGAGCAGCGATACAAACGGGGATGAAACTGTTCAAAGTCGCCAGGTCTAGAGAACGCAAGAAAGCGGACGCAAGGAACAGACGTAAGAGACCCACAGAGGAAAAGGACACCATCCAGGAGCACTGTTGCAGATTCTGCGGTAGAGCCTGCCGGGCCAGAATCAGCTGTACCAGCCACGAGAGGCACTGTACAGCCAGACATGCAGAGGGCGACTGACCGAAGCTGTAGATCGTCTGGCATGCTTTAGACAAGGGCCCAAGGAAGGCACCATGTACATGAAGGAGACAAGACAGGGGAGTATTCTCCACCATGTAAAAGTTCTGACCTCTAGAGTGTAGGTGCCGTCAGGCATGGCCCCAGTGGCCGGGATGTCCAGTACCAGCGGGTCACGCAGTCCGGCCAGACGGGTCCGCAGGTCCGATAGGGGACTGACCAGGTCCATCAACACCAGGTCACTCCTGAAACATGCATATATTTCATCAGTTACCAAAAAAATTTTGGAATCCACAGATGAAACTAATATAGATGGTGATTGTACTACTACAACCTGAATTAGAAAACTGAACAGCAGGCGATGTCTACCTGTGCTACTGACCATAATATTCTAAACACTCACTAAACAATTCTGTCAAAGTCTCTCTAATTCAACTCAATACCGGTTGGATAAAGTACTGCAGAAGTAATGAAACACACCTGATCACGTCAGTACTCAATGGGTCAGTCAGGGGGTCAAACTTGATCTGTGCTGACCCGATGCATGCCCCGTAGCAGATAGTGGACGATTCCGGGACGCACTGCCACTGTTCGTAGGCCCAGGCCACGTCTTCGCCAAGACGGATCTGAGAGGAATGGAGAAGAAGCCGATTAGGCGAAACAACCAACAGCAGTTAGATACCCTACTTACTTACTTTGGTCGAGCTCCGCTAGAACCAAACTTGAAAGCATGCGTCGTGCAGTCAAATACACAGAGGAGCTAAACAATCGTCTCATCTGTTGACACAAGATACTGGGAGAGTCTGAACCTGTGTAATAGAGGGAATGCCTACCACCATGCGGACTTGAAGTGTTGGTATTAGAAACTCCGTTAATGGACATCCAATTGTTTAAAGAAAGTGATTATGGCAACGGACGATGTTGGAATGTTACCTTAGCAGTTCCGGTGATGTCATCACTGCATCCGTCGCACGACGCCAGCAGCTGCCGGTCAGCGATGTCATCAAACAGCGTCAGGTCGGTCCGCACCACGACGTTACCCGACATCGCCACGGAGGCCGAGCCGCCGTAAGACTGCCCCCGACACATCCCGACCATACCCAGCTCGACGGTGGAGCGGAAGTCGAGCTTGGTTGTGACTGCGTCCGGACTGCTCTCGTCGATGGAGGCCAACATGGCGTCGAAGACTAGAAGCATGTCGGAAACCTGAGGCACATAACACCAGGCTGATCAGGAGTGTTATAACAAACAAACAAACAAACAAACGCACATACATACACACGCACACACACACGCACGCGCACACACACACACACACACACACACATACACACACACATAAAGATATAAATGCCTTAATGCTGTAAATAGCATTTCCATTAGAAAAAACATGTGAGCTAACAGCTGAAAGATATAATATAAGTTTGATCCGTTTACAAATCGTACTTACCTGGTCAGTCGTCATAGG